TTCTGTAGACCACTCTTTCCATTTTTGAAGCTTCCTTGGGAACTACTGATGAGGGGCACCAAGGAAGCTGCACTACCGGTATAGTTCTTAGCCCCGAAACCGGATAGTGTAAAAAACAAATGCAAAAATTATCGTGAAATTTTGTATCTTGACAATTACATTTTAATTCTTAATTCTAACTTCACATTTGTTCATTATAGACTAGATAAGGCGTAGTTTGAAACGGAATAATTAGAGGCATGAGCATGAGCAGGCATTCATTTTAGAGGCTGATGCATCTAAATCGATGGATGCTGGTTTTGTACGCTACAGCCTTGAAAGGTGTGTGTGCGATCAGAGTAGAGTAAAGATCAATCTAAAGCCGTTTATCGAAATTTGGAGCATGAGCAGAGCTGCACTTATAACTATGAGAGATGCCATTCGGCTCACGTTGCCGCTAATCGCATGAAAAAGGTGGCTTCCAAAAAAGCGAGTCCCAATGAGTAGCAGTCAAAAACGCGTTTTTGCTTTCGTAATGTGAGGTTTTTCTGAAAAAAAGGGTGGAGGAACGCTACATAAAGCTGCTAGAGATGTGCCGAACTTGTGCTTATTTTGAGTAAAAAAGTTGATTACGAATAAAGTTATGAATCTTTTAAGCCCTGAGGGAGGGTACAAAAATAAAGAACTTTTAGGATGACCAATTATAGGATTTGCTCTTCCCATCTGTCATTTGGACTCCATTGAGGGCTGGTATAAAAACAGAACTGCGGAACTGGGTTTTGGCAAAAAAACCCAGGTTGCAGACCTTTTTCAGTTTGAATTTGGTAATTTTCTAGAAACTCTTTAGTCAGAAGGCAATAACCATAGCCATTCAAGGTAAAATGAAGCTGAATCGAAAGCAATCAAAGAATCTCTTAATTCGTCAGATGTCGTGCTTCTTAAAAAAATTGCAAAAATTACTTCTTGGATGCGATGCTGATAAAAATTGTAGTTTTCAAAAGTGTTAGTAGATTCAATGAGTTTACCAGGCAGATAACTGAAACTATTGATTCTACTGAAATTTGATATTATTACCTTTTATCATTCAAGATGTCAGGCTTGATGGTAATTGGGTCGATGTCAGTCTAAAGTTTTGTCATAACAAAAGTTTTGTCAGTTTTTCAAATCCACTGCAAACTGTATAGAGTGAAGTAAAACAAATTCAAACGGTATCCAATGCAAATAATTGCAATATAATCGCCAAAACCTTCCAGCCCTTTATTTTATCATGTCTCCCTAACTTTCAAAATTCATGTATAGAAGTTTGAGGGAGGTCGGAATGGCAGATAAGGCAAGTTTTTTGCAAACTGATTTTTTGAATATGCGGATTGTCTTTTTGAATTTATGTTTTCAAAGTAACCAAAATTCATAATCGGTCTATTTTAACCCCTTGAGACAAGTACAAGTACATAACTCTGACAACCTTCGATGCAGTTTGCTTTCCTTCTCATTATCTTTTCTTTTATGATACAGGCAAAACTTGCATGAAAAATTGTCGTGTTCCTTCAAACGTAATTTGTTGGACCCAATTTTCAAATCTCCCCATTCTAGAACGTTAATCGCTCCATATACTTTGTAAGGTCAATGCTGGTAATAACTGAGTTTCGAAACTCTAGTCTTCTGAAGATTTTGTAGTATTTGGTACAAATGTTAGGTCGATTTATTAATTAATGCACGTTTTTTTCTAATTCAACATTTAACCAAGGTAAGTCTGTTCTAAAAAGGTCTTTTCGGGCACAATGTAAACTACTGCAAACAGCAAATCTTTGGCTATATATTGCAACCTTGAAACTATACACTGTTAGTTTCAAGGATGCAAGATTTTTAAGATTAGGTTTTTAAACATAGTACACTTTTATTTTGTTAGTGGGTCTGGAGCTTCGCCCTTTGTTATCTATAATCTTTTTTTTTTCATTGAGGCTGAGGAGTGGCCGACCTCGTGCGCTGATTATACTTATATTTATATTATATCTCTGATGTTTTTTCTCTTTGATGCACCATGTGTATACCCATGAAACAACATGAATATCTAGAATAAAACATAAATTACTGTGAAGAGCAATTCTTTGGCCACATTGGAAAAAAGCCGAAAGTACTCGCTTTCCCCTGGCATCTCGATGGGGGTTTAAAAAACTGGCTTTTTTGAAAATTATTCAGTTTTTCCTGCTGGAAAGTAAGAAGTACGTTTCTACCACTAAATAAAATAAGTCTACCCTTTCTGTACAGTGCAAACGTTCTGTAAGGCACGGAATAGCTCGATCACTATCCAAGATTGCGATGAATTTTCTAGTCTCAGAATTTCCAACATTTTCTCAAAAATGTGTTTTTTACCACAAAACTTCATAGTGATTATGAAGATATCCTGAAATCAATCCTGCTATTGTTCATGGGTTTGAGGAAGACTGTGAAAGGAGAGAAATTTGATATCCAATCTCTTTTATTTGAAGCATAAAACTTTGAAATAAACTGAGATATACGGAAGCGAAGGCATGCGTAAGAAACTAGAAGAAAGCCTTTTCAGATATCATAAGCACTTTCGCACCTACTTTAGAAAAGGTTTGGAAAAAGAGATAAGAAAACGTGCCTTGATTTTGAACAACCTAAGATGCAAGTTTCATTAGAAACTTAACACTTTTGACATTGCTCAAAAAAATTCTGGAAAGAAGTTTTGAGAGTGAAAGATGGCGATATTTGCAAAAGGTTCGCAATGTCTGCTGGCTATAAAAGCTCTCTCAAGAGTCTCTTTGAATGTTTGAGTATTATTGGAAGTTAGACAAAGAAAAAACGAAGGATTGTATACGCCGGCGATTATCTCAGCGCTTGTCAGAAGAGTAGCATCGTGATCATAGCTGCTCGAAGTAAGAAATTCTGCATTGGTATTGCAGGCTACTTTGAAATATCAGGTCAGTCCGAAAGTTCTTATTATTTTTTAACTTACCATAAAAACACTTTTAATAAAGGTATCAAGCGCTGTAAAGACCTCGGCGCAACTGTTCTTCCTCGCTTCAGCAGTTGGTTTTCTTCAGCTGGTTATTTTTATTACTCATATGGTCAATAGAGTGAATACTAAAACTGCGAACTCATAGTTGCTGTAGTTGATCATGGTTTTTAGCATAATCAACTTTAGCAAGTTTCAAAAACTCTTGTTCCTACTTTGATGACAAACGAATAGGGTGAGCGAAGTACAATACAACACATTTTTCTGACATTTATAGCTGGCTGAAACTTCCGAAATCATTTTTTGATGCAATCCTATAGTAGACTGTGTATTTCATGTTAAACCTTATAGATCAAACGGAGCGCAACAACTCATTCTACGCAGCTATTCATCCTCCCTGTAAGGCCGTTTTTCCTTCCCAATTTTAGAAGCCTTCGGAGATGAAATTATCACAAGTCTTGATTTTGGACGAGCTCAGGCTGTGCCAGAAATGCGACATTTGACATTTCAAAGCGGTAAACCACAGTTCCGTTGTAAAACTGGTGCTGAATCATAGTCGATTTTTTTATTTTTTTGGATTGTGTTCACTGGCGCTTGTGGACGGGGCACGAGCCTCACTTAAACATCGAGCCACGAGACGCTCTCAGTGCACGAAGTGGTAAAAGTGGCGCTATTCGGCTATCCGGGCCCCAAAATTTTTTTGTCATGGATTTTCTTCAAACTTGGCTCACAGGGGTTATCTGACATGCTGATCACGAATATCACCTTTTCTTCGCAGGAAAACGCCTCCCTGCAGGGTTACGGTAAGTATACGGTAGGGGGTCAAAATCACAGATTTGCCCGAAACTTGGCCCAGGGAGGGTTATTCGGCCCACTGACGCCGAATATCACATTGGTTTTGTACCGTAGCGTCATCTTCCCGGGTTACGATGGGTGTACGGTGTGGGGTCAAAATCTCAAAATCCGCTGTAACTTCGCACAGAGGGGTTATTCGACATGCTGATTAGAAATGTCACACTTTCTCCGCACGAAAACGTCTCCCTGCATGATTACGGTAGGTTTACGGTAGGGGTCAAAATCACAAAGCAGCAAATGTGTCTTTCCCCTGTGCTTTGCTTAGGCAACAGCCGCAGCAGGGTGTGTAGCGCGCGGCGGTGGTCGTGTGTGCAAAGCTTCACGATCGTCCGAATCGCCGTGCACCCGTTTCAGGCAGAACCATGTTTTACACCCGTTACCGTATAGCAACCGTAACCCGAGAAAGTGACGCTACGGTTCAAAACCAATGTGATATTTGGCATCAGTGGGCCAAATAACCCCCCTGGGCCAAGTTTCGGGCAAATCCTTGATTTTGACCCTATACCGTAGTCCTACACTCCACCGGATGGCGCTGTCGCACGAAATAAACCCCGTATTCGTGTTCAGCATGCCAAATAGTCCCTCTAGACCAAATTTCGGACAAATCCGTGATCTTGACCTCCTACCGTATACCTACCGTAATCCTGCAGGGAGGCGTTTTCCTGCGGAGAAAGGGTGATATTCGTGATCAGCATGTCAGGTAACCCCTCTGGGCCAAGTTTGAGAGAAATCCATGACCAAAAAATTTTGGGACCCGGATAGCCGAATAGCGCCGCAAAAAGTTGACGTGTGGCGTAGCCCAATTATGCCGTATGAGAAGGGGATGGAGTGCAGAGCACATACAGATTGTCTCGTCAACGGGAATCAGTGGCCTAGACCATACCGAAAAAGCCAGCTACTTGTTATCCAACGAAGCAACCAAAAATTCCAAATTTTTGAGGTGTACGGGCCAAAATTTACGATTGAGTGCAACGAAGGAAAGTTTTAGAAAGGCACTTTGTTTCCTAAAGGTATAGCATAAGCTCGCAGGCAGCACAATTAGATGAAGGTTCCGAAAAATGTCAGACTGGAACTTCGAATTATTACCATTTTTTCACACTGAGTATAGCTCTAGAAGCCATTATTCGCATAGAGGGTGCTAAGCAAAAGATTATATGCTATCAGCAGCGATGTGCAATTGTACGCTCACATGTCAATAACGGATTTCCATCTTTTTCTTTCCGACATCATTCTTCCAGCGATACGCTCCCTCGGAGGCAGCCCGCTGTGCCGTTTTTCTATACTCTGACCAAATTCTGTACCTTGACTGAATAGTCGCGACACGGTTTCATCGTAAAGTGGAGACAACACTGATTTTATGTATAACTGCAAAGTCGCTTTTGATGCAAACAAATGAAAAGAGGTTTTGTATCCAGACTTACTTTGATGCTCGAAGCATCTTTTTCCTCAAGTCCATACATAGTTGATACTTTATCAAGCCCATCTATGATTGCTCTCAAAGGCAAATGATGCTGTAAAATGAATCAAATATAATCGGAGGTGATGTTCGGAATCTGCGCTGGCCATACAATCAGCTAGAAAACTAATCTAAACCTTATCTCCCAAGGTTTCATTGAGAAGTTGAATCAGAATGGCATGGTAAGGGCATAGTATGCTACAGTGGCAGAGTGAACACCAAAAATTGTATTGCTTATAAAACAGCACAGAGTCGAAAGACCACCAATCACCTTAATATTTGTCGGCGTGGCGTTATACTACAAAGCGCCCGCTGCCAAAGCTCGCCGAAATAGTCTGCACGCTCGCCGAGCTGGCTTACTGTATCCCGCAGCCATTTAGCATCGGAGGGGGCGTTCTTTACGTGCGGGCTGCCCATTGGAAAACGTCGAGGCAATCGCGAGAACGCAGCCTCGTCAGCTTTGCCGCGTTGCGACGTCGCGTCGCTATGTCGCGAATTCTACAAAACTTACATGGAAATACTCAAAAAATTCCTCCTTCAGATTTTAACGTGCGGTATCGTCCGTCGCACCGCATAAGGTGAAACTTCGAAAAAAAAGGTTGGTTTTTATTTGACTCATGTCCGTTCTTCAAATAGAATCAAAGGAGTGAAAATCTCTTATCAAGTCTTATCACCTGAGTGTTCGTGTTTGAAGAATGGAAGAAAAAAATAAGGAGCGTAAAGCGTTTAAAACATGTATGTTGCTGATAATCAAAATATTCCTGATTTATATACGTATTGGCATCAGCGATCTTCTTTTGTCCTAATAAGTTAGGTCCACAGGTCCTCATCGCCGTGTTACCAATCTCAACTTGCAATCTATGCCACAGGTCAGAGCTTGCGATGACAATCACGTAACTATGCCATGACAAATAAGTGAAACAAAAAGAAAACCGAAGAAACATAAGGAGTTCCGGAGTCAAACGAATCTCTCGTTTTTATTTGGAATTACAAAAGAACATAGATCGAATCAAAAAACACGAAATTAATAAGTTCTCATAACTTTCACCTTATGCGCTACGGCGGACGATACAGCACTTAAAATCTGAAAGACGAATTTTTTCTGAGTATTTTCATGAACCTTTTTGTCAAATTCACGACACCGCGGCACAATGTCGCAACGCGGCAAAGCTGACGAGGGTTACGTTCTCGCGATTGCCCCATGCTCACGCTCACCGGTGCAAAATGGGTGCGGAATACAGTAATCCAGCTCGGCGCGCGTGCCGATTATGGCGGCTTTGGCGGAGAGGTCTTTTTAGGATAACGCACGTCCTCCAAATATATAAGTAGCAGTGGCGGTCCCAGGAATTCGGACCGGGGAGGGGGCAGAATTTTTTTTCCAATGAAGGTGCTTGGCATTAGCCACGCACTCCGAGGAAATTTCGGAGTGCATTCAAAAATTTTTACGGGTCCATAATCCCTAAAATCTTGAAAAAGGGGTCGTGGCGTCAGCTACGCCACCGAAAAATTTTTTTTACAAGGCTAACTTGAATTTTTGAAAAGTTTCAAAAATTACTTTAATTATTTACAAGAAGAAACAAGTCACTTGCACATTTTTATAGCCCATGTAAGTAAATTTCAAAAATTTCGCGACCCATTCGCGGGAGGGAGGGGGGGGGGGTCCCTCCTCGGTCCGCACTGTGAAGTAGGGATCTGCGTGAAGGTTCAAAGGCGAAACTCATGGCTTTAATCCGAATACTGATTCCAAATTCTACTAGGAGAGGACCCAAAGCTGTTGTGGCTTTCTAAATGTAGCGTATACTAATTTGAAGAGCATCGAAAGCTGATTCCAAATCTGTCTTTGTTTTTTGAAAATCATGTCTAGACTGTGGCACATTAAGGATGCCCTCAACATAAAATTGTGCAGGTTCTTGATTCTTTCGATGAACCTCATCCCGCAAACAGCGGTTTATCGAAAAGCTCAATATCTAAGATTTTAGTAATCTCTATTACCAACATGTTTAGCGGTGCCGTAGTATATCCTCGACACAATTTCACCACTTCCATCGAGTTTATAGGAAGATAAACGAATTCGAAACTGTAAGGTGGGTGATCCCATGGGGATCCGCAAGGGATCACACAAAACCTTGAAATTCTCCCATTGTGAGCCATTGTCCTGTTATCCATTATGCTTGAAGGCAGTGTCCCACAGACTGGGGGTACCTGGCTCAGGTAGTAATGTAATAGTAGACCCTCTAACTAAGCGACGACAGAAGTTGCAGCGCGAAAGGGATTCTGCGAATTCTACAAATCTCCCGCCAACTGCCCCGAATCTTACGGTAGGCTCGGCCGAGTACGAGATGCACGCAAAGCAGAGACACAAAATCGTTGCGGGAACCTACGCTCATGACTGCGTGCCTATGCGCGCTCTGGAGTTGCGGTTCGAAATCGCTGTGCGGGCGGCATTCGGGACTGCTTAAGATTCGGGCCACTTTCGGAGCAAATCTCAGGCTTGGTAGACCCCCTTTTTCGCTCCAAACTTCAGTCGTCGCTTAAGTAGGGGTCAACTTTAACATCGCTATAAAAACCCGGCACCCATCTTTTTGCCGGAACGCTGCCTTCAAGAAGTCAATAATATATTTTAAGCGTCCTAAGTAACCTCCTAGGCAAATTTTCAGACATTTCTGTGATTTTGACCCCTTACAGCATCCACCGTGCCATGCAGCGAGAAGTTTCCATGAAGTGTGAACGCGTGACCAGCATGTCGAATAGACTTTGGGAATCTCATACAGGGCTTATCAAACGCAGTGTTGCTGGCATCAGCATCAGAATACTTGGTCGAAGTGGAGTTTCCATACGAGATATATACTATCTTATAGAGCATGGAACGCTGTATTCAAATCTGCCTTCGACATCTGCAAAGCACTTTTGCGAAGAGAGTTATGGGAGTTTTTTCAAGCAAAAAATTTGAATGCGCGGCTACGATAAAATCATTCAGAAGTGTAGCCTGTGAGCTCAAACGTGGTCATGATTACTGCCAAGGCGCTTTATGCAACTAATACCTTCAAATATACATATGCTAGTCATAACTCCTCTCAAACTTCGGAGAAACTTCGGTACATGCCTTCGCCTTAGCCAAATCCTTGAATTTTTGTTTCAAAAACTTCGCATAGCTCCCCGCCCCCTTCCAGAAGCGCTTTGCAGATACCGAAAACAGATTTGGAATCAACGTTTCATGCCCTATAAGATAGTATAATTGAAACGACCGAAAAAATTTCGTCGAACGAACGAATATCGATCAATCGGTTTTTGAAAAATATTCGAACGAACGAACATTATTCGATCTGTGATTTTCAGACTAATCGAATTCGAATATTCGAATAAGGCTACATTTTAAAATTCGTGAACGAATATTCGAATAAAAGGGGTTCGTCGGATATTCGACTATTCGAACAATCGAATGATTGCATATGGTCGGATATTCGACTATTCGAATATTCGAATAATCATACGTGTCCGAATATTCGACTATTCGAATAATTCGAATAATCTAGTGGGTCAAACATTGCTGGTTTTTTCTTTGTTGCAGTCAGAAAAAAATTAATTACTATATTTGATCTAGATTTATAGCTGATAATTACATGCGTAGCAAGTGATAAGGATGACTGGGTTATTGTCGCTCGGTCAAGGTTCTATCTAGGATACAGAAGAATTTTGCTAAACATGTAGTGCAAGGTGTTCGTTGTCCTTTAAGACGGCTACTAAGCCTTACTTAATAACCATTTCAAGTATTTATTCTTCCTCAAAGAAGTTTCTTCCAAAGCTTCACAGAACTTTCTCCTAAAATGCAGATTCAACATGGAATACCTTTTGGAATAGTTAGCTTTGTAATTTACTGTAATCGTCAGCATTGCGTGAGTTCTAAAACTAGCACTGGGAGAGCATGAGAAAGGTCTACTGCAATAGAATCAATGAACCTCTGCAGCAGAGGTGACGCACTGTTGTCTGCACAATACTTTTGTGCACATCTAAATCCATATATTAGCTGCTAATCTAATACCCTAAAATCTTACAGATAAGTCCGCTTTTCTGACAAGAAAAATTGACGAAAATGCACCCTCGCACCGCCAAGAATCTTGCAGATAAGTCCTCCCATTAGATAAGTCCGCCTACAGATAAGTCCAGACTTATCTGACAAGATTTCAGGGGAGCTATAATGGAAAGAAAATGGACTTATCTGTAGGCGGACATACCTGAACGCGGACTTATCTGTAGACCAGGGTCAAGCGTATTGATGCGATCCGAAACCCTCTTTTACGACCCCCCCCCCTTGAAGTACTCATCCGTGCGACCTCATTCCCCACTTACTCCCCCCCCCACCACATAAACGAATGCCAACCTTAAAAAAATGCCTGCCGATGGGCCTCAATCAAAATTATAGGACAGAAAAAGATAACTACTTAGAAATTGGGAGATAATGCAATAATGCTTCACCGCCCAAAAACCTAAAAAATAATTCTGCATAAATTGGTTGAGTAGTAAAATTTTACGAAGATCTGACTATGTCAGGAAAAGATGGATGAAGAGGACTTCATCTGACAAAGCAGAACATCGATGTTGAATTGTTGATCCGAATAATGTCAATGTTGTACTCTAACTAGACGCTAAAAAATGAGAAATAACAACCGAGAAAAATTCAGCACTAGATTTGACCATTCCAGTCATTATAATTGATTATTTCATAATAACTCAATTTCTGACTTAATAAATTCCTCCGCCAGTCATGTTCGGCATAACTCATTCATGTTTCGGTGATGGTTATGGAAATTACACATTTTAGACTATAATGACAGTCTCGTGTTCTATCCCCATAGGCGACAACATTTTCTTTTGCAGAAAGAAAAAACAATATTTTTTGAACACAAAAAATGTTTTCGAGTAAAAAGCTTACTTACTACCTTTTGCACATATTTTCCTGTGAAAAAGACCGTTTTAGCACCATCCAGAACGTGTCGAAAATGTGAAGGAGCACGGTACTTTGAAAATTCGTAACTACGTTCAGAAAAAGACTGAGAA